GGTCGCAAACGCACTATGTTGGTTTTGTCATGACGCGGCTCATTTGTAGCTTATTGATATATATAAATACTCCACATTTATTATATATTATGATTATTACAGTTATAATTATAAAAAACAACTTAAAATGTATGTCTCAGTTTTATTTTAACATTAACTGTTGCTATTATCTTTGTTATTGTTTTTGTTTTCCTATTTTGTTGCATATTTTATTATTTGTTATAAAATATTGTACATTTGCTCACCTCACCTGAGTATAAATACGATTGCCTGATGTCTTTTTTTTTGTTTTGGCCAAAATCATTTGGTAGACTTTTACTATAAATTTGACAAAGTTGATCCATAGGTGGTCCTCAACAAGTAAGAAGGGATGTGGTGATCTGGTGGTTAAGGTGTCAGCCTCTCAATCCAGGGAGATTGGGTTCAATCCCAACTTAGGTCATGACCATATTTCCACATAATTACGGTACCATTACTGTTTAGTTTCAGGAAGTGGACTTGAATGTTGTTGATATAAGTTACAAGAACATGTTTTGCAATCAATTTAGAATAAATAAGTTTAAACTAACAGATAATTATGTAAAAAGTCATTGGAACAAAACAAGGTTTAGACATACTCTTCAAAATTCTTGTCACAAACAAGAAGGCTTTTGGCTTAGATTTTGGTTGTGGTCCTGTACAAAAGTTGTATAAATCATTTTCTTCAGCTATATCAAAATTGGCCTCAACCTAGTGGTTACTTTTGTCAGATTGAATGAGATCAGAATAACTTAAAAAAAGAGTTATCTTGCTCTGAAATTAAAATGCCTAGAGCTTAATAATCGGTTATGCAACATTTTCTAATTGGCCGCATAAAAGTATATGTAATTTATACATTTGGACCATGGACTTATTTAGGTACATTACATCCTCTTTCGTTTAAACAAAACACTGAACTGAGATTTTGTATGTCAAACAGGTTAAAAAAGACCCACCTTAAGAAGCTTGTTATTTTCCATTTTTCTCAGTTGAGTGATATTTAGGCACATTTCGGTTTTTGTGTAACTATTTATGTATTCTTTTCTTACTTTTTGTACTCTCTATTCTGATATCTATGTTAAGATATTAAAATGATTTTATGTCCAAGTTTTTGTTTTAGTTTTCAAACCTGTTGGAAAGACTGTCTTGGAATTAACCATTAACCTGCTGCTTACACTTTAGTGCAGATTGACCAGGCTCTATACTTTTTATAGGTTTATGTTTGTATTTAAATATAGAAATACCATATATTTTTTAACCTTTTCCCTTATATAAGCGTGTTTAACCTTTTCCCTTATATAAGCGTGTTTCGACGGCTTGTGCCCCCTTCTGTTTGGGGGGTTTGAAGGGGGCGGAGTCCTCCTCATTGCCAAGAAAATTTTGGACTTGTGAGAGGCTTAAAATGACCCCAGGTTGATCATAAGGTAACATGTAACCAACGCTGAAAAGCCTTTGACTCTATCTCAATCCCTTGAGAAGTTGCAGCACTTTGAAGTTAATTTTGATGGAAAAAATCGAGGCAAAAAAGTGATTTTTGGCAATTTTGAGATGTCCCCTCGTTGCCATGGTAACAGGAAATTTAAGACTGAGCATGTCGTTACAAAGGCAATGGTCCAGTCAACATTTGTGCCAAGTTTGATTAGTATTGAAGCATTTTTCATAGTTTCATAGCAGTTTGAACTTGTAAGAGGAGGCTTTTCAGTAAAAATGGCCATTTTTCACAATATGCTCATGGGGGAAAGGGTTAATGCACTGTTCTATCAATTAAAAAATTGGCAAATCCCTTTCACAAATTTAGTAGGTTAAGGGTTAACTTATAATTGCTCACCAGTGACTGAGTAATTAGCATAGTACATAAGTAGTTTATTTAAAATGTGTTTTTATAAAATAGCTATTTGTTTAAGTTGTTATTGTATGTGAATCTCAAATTCTTTATGATATTTATATTGATTAAAAAAAACAACAACAATAATTATGGAAATATTGATATTTTAATACATTTAAAACGGTTTTCTTAATTGCAGATATTGGGTGTTAATTTTACTTTTGGAAATATTTTATGCATGTATATTTTTGAACAATGTGAGATTATTTAGTATAATTCTATATATTTTGTTAAAGGTGCTAATTCACAATTGAGGAGTAATTTAGAATGTTATAGAACATAACTCTTTCAACTTGATTTGTCGTAGAACCTATTACATTCAACTTTATTTTTTACAGAACATATTTCATTTAAAATGATGTGTTATAGAACATATTTAATCCAACTTGATTTGTTATAGAACTTATTTTGTTCATCTTGATTTGTTTTAGAACATTAACATTATTATTTTGATTTATCTCTACATGAATGATCCTTGCATAGTTTTCAATAAAAAATGCTCAAATGGTTCAGATTTTAAACTAATCAAGCTGCAGCAAAACCTTTTTGTTACAAACTGTAATTAAAGTCTGTGCTTATAAGAAAACATTTTATAGGTAAATCAAAGCAGTGTACCTTTGGAATCATGTTAGCATATGAGATACTTTAGAAAGTGTACAAAAAGACTCAAAATAGAGAAAGTGCTGGTCTAAGGCACCGTTTATCCATAAAAAACATATTTGTGATGTGTCCAACTATGCCAAAATAATTTTATTACTTGTAATGCATTGAGAATATTCATTTTAGGTCATTTGTGCGTAAAGTGTTAAGAGGTGTGATTTTGTGATGGCAATGGTCATTCATTGTTGTCTATATTTTCTTTTAACAGCATCTCAATTTAAGCTACTTTCAAGATTTTGACCAAACTTAATAAATGGCCCTGGGTGGCCCTATACAAAATTAATAAATATTATTTTAAAATCAAATCCTCTTCTCCTAAACTACATTGCTTAGATATTCCACATGAAACATCACCCTTTGGTCCTCTACAAAGATGATATGAATAATGCTATTGGGGTCAAATTGCATGAATTGGCTGCCACATATGGGGCACTCGATATAAACTTATATTGGAAAGCACATTTAAGTATTTTTGTGTGATACTTCTATATATTATTACCTAGAGCTTATATTTTAGCATGTAGCATTGCCTTGTTGACCTTTCATAAAGTTATATAAATCATGCCCTGCTGGGTCCCACTTTTTGGGTCTCTCAAGAAAGACTTATACAATAAATATGTCTGAAAAATCTTCTTTTCTGAATCTACATTGCTCAGTGAAAAGAAATTTGGCATATACCATAACATTGTGGTCCTCTACAAAAATTATATAAAACATTTACAAGGGTTCAAAATTTACATTGTACTGGTGTTCAGTAGTTTATATATAAAGACTTGTAAACACTTACAGTATTCTTGTGCCCAGTGCTTAGAAATGTGGTCATGTATCATTGCCTTGAGGGCCTTTACAATATCTACATGGTTTCCAATTGCCTTGGACGGACAGGTGGTGGTATCCTCGGTTATTATTATACTATGCACCACTCACTATCGATTGATAAAACAAGAACTTCAACCTGAGAAAAGAAAGACTCGCATGTCCTGATTCTGTGTAAATCAGGCTTAATCTAAACAAATAGAGAATATAAGAGAATGAGCTATGACTCCTGGTCTTGAATTCGAGATACGATGAGGACAATGAAACGTTGCAGATCATCTCCTCTAGCCCTAGCACTGCGCATATATGAGCAGGTACTATTTCAATTCTTCTCTAACTCTAATAGATGTATGGCATCAAGTTCGCTATCTCCGAACGTGACCAGAATAGAGAGCTACTGGAAGTGACAGTACGACGGGCAACTCATTATTGGTTTTAGCGTCATACCTTGCAGAGAAATCGCGGCCTTGACAGCCTGCTGTGTGGAAGTTACAAAATTCTGGAAACAAAGTGATCCCTCGGAAGCATTAATCACAAAACATGTTTAAGTCTTGTAGTGTGATAAACTTATTTGGCACTAAGTGGACGTCTACAAATATTTTAAATATTATCCAGCATGATCAAAAATGTGGCATCCAATGTGACATTATAACTTACTTCCGCATTGAAGAGTTTTGACTTTTTTCTAGCAATGTATCACAGGTGAGCAATCCAGACCCATCTTGTTTCAACTTTTCATATAAGATTTATGTGGAAAATTCGTTTATCTCAGTTGGAAGCATCTTAATATGTACTACAACACAAGCAAAATTGGCATGCATTTGTATTCAAAAATGGTAAAAGAAAGAGAATTGATGAAATTTGTTGAACCGTATTGACTGAAGAAGTTAAGTAATTTTTCATGATGTCATTTTGATTTTCTTGACGTGATATGACGTTTTTATTTGTTATTGATGCACTGGACTACCCTATCTTATATTGAATAGTTTGAAGCATGTTATAATATAATATTATATATATTATTTTTAATTGGATTTGTTATTGTTTTTTTTTACCTTGATGTAAAAATTATATTTTATTTAACTTCCGGGGAACAAGAGATCTGGTGGTGGTTTGTTAAGAATTTATTATGTTTTATTATTTCTTATATACTTTATATTTACATGCTCATGTTAGCTGTATAATTGGTTTTTTTATACGTATCTATATAATTACTAATATTAGGGATTACAAGGATATCTTTCAGTTAAGTATATCATTCTTCACTGGGAGTCTTAGAAAAGGGATCATCACGTAGGTCTAATATAGATATTAACTTATGAGGTCAAACGAGTCAAGGAGCTACTATTTCAGCTGCTAAATACTCAATTATTGAACGATTTTTTATGTAAGCAAAATGGTCATAGTTTTACTCGAAAATATGGAAAAACGCTTTTTTCTATATGACCACACAATTTAATGTTATTAGTAGTTGATCACTACTAGCGTGTTATGATCAACATACATATGAGAGGTTATAGTTAGGTCGTTTATTTACTTTTAGGTACTGCGCAATAAAGTCAAGGGGTCGCTTGTGCTGATTATATCGCAATGTGAAATGCTCGTCTTTTATTAATTTGCCCAAGAGAATGCTTTGGTCCAAGGTCCTAAGATTTAGTGTTCAGGACTAGAAGATGAACCCTATTAATTATTAGGACAACAGGTCAAATCAGGGTCTTTCAAATTATTTGAAAGACCCTGGTCAAATCAAGGTGACAGTGACCTTGACCACTAAAATTTTGTATGCCTAATAACTAGGGAACGCTTTGGCCGACGGTCCTAAGATTTAATATGAATGTTCATGACTACTAAGTGGCCCCTATTGTTATGTCAGAAGGTTAAAGGTCAAGATTATAGTGGCATTGAACACTAAAAGCTTGTCTGATGCCAGTTACTTGATAATGCTTTGGCCAAAAGTCCTAAGACTTTATGAAAGATAATATGGATCATCTTGACTAGCAAATAGTAGCAAGGTTACCGTGACCTTGACCACTGAAAGCTTATGAACTTTTCATCCAAATTAATGATAAAGTGCGTTCAGTGCAAACATGATTTTTAATACACATTGCAACCTTTTACAAAGAATGAAATATTTGAGAACGATATACTTGTGAATGACTATTATTTGTGCTTAAATGGTAATTTTAAGTGACAAAGTATTAGCCATTTAAGCTTGTGTCTGTTCAAGATATTATGATTGCTTGATCATTATCATTGTACAAATTTAGTCAACAGGGTAGGTACTAATAGAAGGTCTCCCACAATAGAAGGTCTTCTACGGTCTCCAAAGACCATCGCAGACCGTGTAGGAGCCCGACGATTAGTAGGTTATTACTAATGGACAAGCAAATGCACTCTTGTTGTAATCTTTAACTTTGTGTACTTAATGGTTATATATACTAGATGCATTTATTTCTCATCTTTTTCAATCTATATGTTGCCAAGACTAAGGATATAACTATTAAGAAAATAAATAAACGATCTTTTGCTATAGACATGTGTTTTGTTGTTTTACCCCCACAAACGAAGTTTAGGGGGTACATAGGAGTCAGCTTGACGGTCGGTCAGTCGGTCCGTCCCTTCTTGGTTTCCAGACAATAACTGTAGTTTGTAATGAGGCATCGTAATAAAACTCTGAATATAGCAACCTTATATGGAAACCGCGTTTGGTATCGTTTTGGACACCCTAGGGTCTAAGTTATTTCGCTAAATATTTGACGACATTACAGAGAGTGTCTGTGGCCGATTGGTTTAGGTCGCTGATTTCAATACTGCTGTGGGCTCCAATCCCGCTAGGGACTTTGGATTCTTTCATGTGAGAAAGCTATCCAGCCAGCTTAGGGAGCGTCGGTGGTTCTACTCGGGTGGCCATTCGTGCCTGAAATAATGATCGGAGGGGCACCCGAGGTCTTCGCTAGAAAGTAGCCTAATGCTTGTTACTGGTGTTGTGCACCGTAAAACCAAATGGCAACAGGAAAAAAGACACCACAGCAATCGTCTTTCAGTTAAAAACTTTATCCGGATAATTTGTTGTTAAGTGGTTGCATTTGGGTCGATGCACAATTTATTTTGTTGCTAAACGATGCAATAGTGTACATAAGAATTATTCTAAAACCTCAGTAAACCTTATCCTCTTAGACTTACACTTAGTAAAGCTTTTGATAAAGAGAGTCATGAACATTTTTTGTCGAAAATGCATAACTGTGGCATAAGATGTCAGACACTTAATTAATGGGTAAAAAGTTTCTTTCATGAAAGGCTCTAATCTGTAGTAATAGACGGATCCTCGTCTGAAGCCGTATGTTACTTCTGGAGTCCCCCAATAGGTCGGTTCTCGGACACCTCTTTCTTTCTAGCATACATAAATGCCATTATACTGTTCATACAGGAGTCTAGTCAAAAGTTCGTCTATTATCAGGTCAGCAATCTGAAAACCTGCAGAAAGGACTTAATTAAATACCTGAAGGAAGTTGGATTTGGACATTTAACCTATCCAAAGTTTTCCTCGTCACAAAAAGTATGCATCATTTATCAACTAATTATTATGTTCATGAAACTACTTTGTAGGCGGTAACATCGGCCAAATACATGTGCGTGGATATATCACATGAGAGCACATGAAAAGTTCAAACCAAACAGACAAACCCTTGGTTTTTTGCATAATTACTTATAACTTTTCTTGGTAGCTTGACGCACAGACTGTCTTCAAGAGGGGTTTTACACATATATTTACAGCGTAGCTAGGTAGGTAGGTAGATAGGTAGGTAGGTGGTGAAACAATCTTCTCCTCAACAATGAATAGAAAATAATAATAACTATTAAAAACGTGCAAACAAGTATATAACTAAACTTTATTCACCAAAAGAAAGAAACAAATATAAATGAGCTCATACAAAAATGTCTCTAACATAACATGCGACTACATGTATATATACCAGATTCTCGTGACAAACAAAATTCGTGGCGTAAAAATATGAAAACTATAAGTATTTTATACATATACGAATTTAAACAGAACAGAACAGATACTTTATTTTTGACTTGTACAATTATACATCGTCATACATAAATAAACAATTTTACAATACATACTAAAAATCGCAAGATCGGATCTAAACATGTCTCTTTCATATCAATATAGAGGATGAATTATTAATATACAATGTATTAAGTTGTATCTACTATATCTAAATTATTTCTATGAGACATTGCATCTCGTACATACAAGGATAAATTTAAAAGTATACTTCTATTGTTTGATTTTAACATATCAGTGAATTTAAGCATACTAGGTCTTATATAATAGTATCTTTATATATATATTTTTCTTCTATCAATATAACAAGGACAAATTAGAATGAAATGGTATTCATCTTCGACGTCATGTAGATTACAATATAAACAATATCTTTCATTTCTAACAATTCTATTTCTATGAAAACTACCAGTTTGCACATGTAATGAATGCGAAGATATACTAATTCTTGTAAGATACTTCCTTAAAGTACTTGGTATTATATCAAGATAATTTTCATATACAAAAGAATCTTTAACATGATTATACAGATACAAAACAGGACTGCTCTCTTTACCAGAAAGCCAACTTTGTAAAACACAAAACACACAAAACAGAGTTGATGAAGTATGATGACTGGTTCAAATGGAATTAAAACTGTTTGCAGACTGTTCATGTTTAGCTGGTGTTTTATTTATCAACATAGTCAAAATTGACGATTATCCGTCAGAATGAAGACCTCTCAAATATCTTGCTGTATCACACTTATGAAAATCAGTTGTGCCATTTGTTTCTGAAAATAAAGTACCATGAAATAATAAGATATTATTTAAAATCATTGCAGTTTTACATTTGATGTTTATTCAAATGCAACTGTAAGAGATGCATGTATTTCAGTATTATCTCTCCTTGCTTGTTCAGTATTTACAGTACATGCAATCTTTGTAGACGACTTTACAGCAATATCATTTGTGCCAAAAGAAAGACTTAAAAATAAGTTTACCTTTGTAGAGCAACACCACTCAGCAGTAACCAGAATCGTTGTCTACCAGAGGGTGTTGTGTTTCTATACAGAGGTTAAATTGTAATTTATTATTTTGTGTTCATCCTACTCAATTCAATAACAATAATGTGTACCTCATTTCCTAACTTTGGTATGTATGTTTATGTGTGTTTTATTTTGGGGCTGTATGCTACATGTAATCATAAATGGAAAATATGTTTTCTTAGGGTGATCTTTTTCACATTTTTGATTTGATAGAAAGTTAAACAAACATACCATTGTTCATATTGCTCTCCTAAATGAGTGATAAGTGAAGCTACCCATTTTGATCCCCCGTTCCCCAACAATTGGACTGCTTGTGAGAGGGCAAAAGTGAAACCTTCCATGTCTGCTGCTGTAAAGTCTCCTTTATGGCTACTTCTGTCACATTTCCACCTCCAGTTGATTACTTTAGCTTGAAGAAACGTAAATATTTTAGTTTTCGTTGAGTAAGTCGAGATACAGAATGTGGAAGTATTTAATTTTAAGTGTCTTAAATGACTCTGACGATAAAATGTGTCGGAAATTACCTCCTATGTAATATATGAATAATTTGCTGACGGAATGTATGGTTGCAAATGAAGAAGGGTCATATTTTCGTATGACAGTAATATGAAACATGTCAGCACTTTCCGGTGTTTTATCCCTTTAGGTTTCTGATCTTAATTTCTTGTTTTCTTTGTGATCTCGCGAGAGTTTGGCGGGAACTTTTCGTTCAGGTTTTTGAAAGATTTTACATGGTTAGTGTAGGGAATATTCTGAACATTTCTACTTGTATATGATTTGTATTTGGTTGAAAGCGTTCATGAGAAGTATCTGAGTTAATTTTGTGATGGCTGAGACGGTTTATTTGCAACGTTGTATTTAAAGTGTATAAAGCTACTGCAAATTTATTGTTTGAATTTTAAAAAAGAATACTTCCAAAATGCTTGTATGAAGTAAAATGGCAGTTAATCGCTTAAAAACGAATGGCGCATGCACAAAATCATTGCTAAATGAATAAAACATTACTTAAAATAGCAAAGTAACATTTTGTTCCGTATTTACATACATTGTCCAATGGAGACATTCTACATTACAACGTTTTCGGGAATCAACCATATAATAATGGAACCAATATAATTTTACTGTTGATAAATTTTACAAAAAAAATATTTCAGAAGCTAACGATTTATAGATTTATTGTAAATAAACAGTTACTTAACATTTTGTTCCCCTTTACATTATTCTTGAACCATTAAACTGCTATTTTCTTATATATATCAGTTTAATGGTTCAAGTATATATATTTGATTGTACATGTAGATTATAAACAATAAATTAGTACCACAACTACACGGCATTAAACACCATGTGTTACGCACTGATAAAAATCAATATTAGGCGTAAGTTATCTATTTGTTTTAAGGAGCTCAGCTTTTGGACCCATTCCTTTTTCAGCAATTTATGTTTGTATTGTGCACATTATTACTGCTTTTAACTTCACAGGATTCCCCTTTCTATTAGGAGTAAGGTACAAATAGTTGTCAGCCCTTTTAGTAAAGGGCTGACTTTAAATTTATGCCATAGTCTTATTGTTATTGATAAGGAGGCTAATGTTAACAGATATGTCTTGCATTGGTTTATATAAAACAATAGTAATGAAAACCAATCGGGGTATCAGTTTACGTCCTTTTACATGTAAGTCCGCTATTAAATTTTGAAAATATTATATATAATTTCTTGGAAGATATTGTGATATTTTTCGGAATAAAACTATTTGTTTTAACGAGTTTAAGGTCATCGATTGATCACAATATTAATATACATCTTAACATAGAATTTAAAAAGAAAGTAAGGATGCGGATGAGAAGAAATAAACCATTTAAACAGAGGAGCGAACGATTATAACTTCAGATTTAGTCATTGACCTTTTCGAATGCGCGCATGAATAATCCAAATAGACGCGAGGTTAGATAAACGCTGATTATAAGACATTTTAGTCAGAATTCTTCGAATTTAGACGAAACAAGAAGGGCAAATACTGAAAACGGGTTAAAAGGATTTTTTGAATTTATTTGCAGCATCACTTTAACAAATTCACCATAATATAAGTTTATAAATAATACTGTACAACTTATAAAGGCCGACCATAATAATAGATATACATACCGATATGTGTCCCATTCGAACATTTCATCATTCCTAACTCATTCAACAAAATCTGATCATTGTCTTGTCTGCAAACCCATTTAAATTTTTCACTAGAAATACACATAATAAAAAAATACAAGTATACATATATTACTACAATCTGCTGATTCCTTCAAACATCAGTGTTTAATTTTTAAAAGAAATTTATTATTTTAAAGAAATCATGAAATTTTATCATCAATTTATCTTTGCGCTTAAGGCAATGGCATCATATCAAATGTGGAAACACAGGTATGATTAATTTTAAGATGAAGTATTACTTACTATATTAAAAAGTTATTACGTAAATGAACGATGTCAAAATGTTTAATATGCTTTTTTTGAGCTTCATACATATTAAATGTTAAATAGATAAATATTAAAAATAATATTATTAATAAAAAAAGTGCTTTGTTAAAACATTATTTTTTATTGTTGCAGGTATTTCTCAGCAAGACTACGATGCAGCCGTAGAGGGTAATATTGATCTTCATTTTGTATGCGCAATTTGCCGTTTTGAGGGCGAGTCAATGGAGGTAGAACCGATGGAAGTCGACAACTGTGAAGATGTGACAATGATCTATAGTGATCTGGAAGTGCCAGAACCAGTCTGTAGCTCTAGTGTCTCCACGATAGAAGAAATTAGTGATTACGTTCGCGCCGACAACACCAGTACATTTGACGTGCCAGGGACCGATAGAGATATTGAACCTGACAATATAGAGACTGAGCAGCAGATGTGAAAATTCAGACGAAGTTAGTGAAAGAGAAGAAACTTAAACGATATCAAACCAAGCAGACGAAGAAGATTCAAGGACGACTGTGGGCCTTTGGGAACAGTATAGATTAAGAACAATTACCACCAGCGCTTTGCTTGATGCTTGTGCATCCCTATATGGTCCCGCATAAACAACGGTGTATAAGAGTTCCTCACAACTGGACACGACTAGTTTTCTGTTAACAATGTGTTATGTTAAGATGTTATAATAAAAAAAGCTATTTTTTTGTATATTTTTTCTGGCTATATAGAATTGCTTTCTGTAATTTTGGTAATAAAATGTGTTTTTATGTGCTTCTATTCAATAGCTGTTTATAGCATTCTTTTCCAGGTTTAAGTTTTAAAAAATGTAAAGTTTGTAATAAAATATGTTAGTTATATAAATAACTTATCTACGTATACAATGTGTAATGTAATTTTGGTAATAATATATATATAATATATATATGTTCATGTGTCTTTATTCAATAAAAGCTGTTTTCGTATAATTTTCCAGTTTATATAAATAACGAAGTTTCCCTCATCTACAATGTGTGATGTAATTTTGGTAATAAAATATATTTATTTTCATGTGTTTTTATTCTATGAAAGTTGTTATTATATTTTTTTCAGTTTATATAAATAACAACTATGTATTGGCCAAACAAATTTTGGAGTCCAGTTTCGAAAGGAGAATTTTATAAAAAGATGGAAACCAAGCTTCGGTTAAAATTTGGATGGTTTTGGAGTTTAATGTTGTTTTCTATTGTTTCCTCAGTAAAATCCTAACGTAATATATACCGCCCGGGATACAAGAAACGATATTTTGATGCATGAGCGGGAAATATTTACACATGAGAATAACTGACATAAAGGTCAACAAAATTAGGTATGGATATTCCTACGTGGTGGCGGGTGTTACCGATCACATAACGAAAAAAAAACGACTTTCTTAATCATGTGTCCATAGACCTTGAAAATGTTGAAATAGATTTTTTATCAAGAAAAAAGATCTTCTTTATTCCTCTTGAAATAGGTCATGTGGAAAATAGATTTTTATAGCATATGAAATCGGAGTTAATTATAATTCTGAAAAAAAGGTAAACAATATAATAATGTATGTTTATGAAAATGTTTCAAGTATTCAGTTTACCATATTTTATTCTTCATCCGATTTGACAATGATGGCGAACAGTCACATATATATGTTTAACATATTTCACAAAAATCTTAAATAGTTAGTATCCATTGTGTCCACCCTGTCATTTTCACGGGAGGGCTTTTGTCCGCCATGTAATATTCACGGGAGGGCTTTAGTCCGCCTTGTCATTTTTGGACCGGAGGGCTTTTGTCCTACACTCAATATTACGTTATAAACGGGTAATACATTTTTATTTTAAACATCCTTTTGTCCCTATTTCAATAATTGATGAAAAAGTCGTCTAATAATACAATACTTCAAACAGATGACTTTTGTATGCAATTTAGTTAGTTCCGCACATTTTAATGACACCTCTAACGAGTATTTTATTAGACGATATATCCAAGTGACGTAGTTTAGCACACTTAAATGCAAGAGGTGGTTAAATTGTATGCTTGTATTACCAAAATCGACTGCGTCATTCAGAGTCTTTCAAATATGAAATAAACTGAATGAATTCGTAAATGCAGAAAGTTACTTACATAAACCATTGCATCACTAATTTATCAAAATAAACTATTTTAAATGTATGGTCAATCATTAAGATTAAATCAAATTGTTAATTAAGTTTGTTGAATACTGATAGAATATAATCTTTAGTCATTGCTCTTTTTGTCCTACGCAGAAAACGCATGCGCGGAACGCTACTTCGGTTTCTATGGAAATATCGAAGTGTAAAAGGTCTTTAAGAATCACACTTTGATAATGTTTATTTGCATGTTGCTATCCTAAATAAGAGTTTCTTTACATCAATAACAAATTCAAATGACTAAAATATCATTCGGTTTAGATCATTCATTCAATAAAATGATATTTATATAAAAATATCAATTAGAAAAAATATTTTTGAAAAAAAAAAACCCAAAAAAACCTTGGTTCATCCTCCTTTTTCCGATGACATGATGGACACATAAAATTTTTAAGCTCTATCCACGTAACCATTTTCAAACGTGTATTTCTTTAATCATTAGTAAATCCGCAATCAAACTTTGAAGTGAAATATTCAACGACAATATTACATACAGTATTTTTACATTAGGTGATAAACACGGCGAGTAGTCGCTTACAAATTTAATATCCGTTGGTAGACAAATGGTCATGTCGTTTATAAACCTTATTAGGTAGATTGAAAACGCACTGGTGACAACTACAAATGTACTCTAATGCGGAATTACTGTTTTATTTCTATCAATATGTACTAAATTGATTAGTTGACGTAAGTAAAAATCTCTCGTCATGATTACACCACGTGTTATGGAATGTAATGACAAATCTGAAAAAAGTAGTTCCTACGACATATTACGAAAATTAAACCGGGATATGAACAAGTAGAAGTGAGTAACATTTAGTCTTTTTTCTATTAAAGCAATCTGTTCGTGAGTATCTTGATATTTAACAATAAAAATTGTGCATAATAATTTATCTATATAAACGAACATCGTCAGTTTTTTTTTTCAGATTTTTTGTTGAAGATTTAGAATTTTTTATTCTTTTTTCTACGCTTGGTATTTCATTGCCAGAATTATTTTACTGGTACGAGTCACAATGGTGCCTAATTATACTTATAGTAACACATATTTGATACTATATTTGAGTACAAAAAGAATTCTTAATACATCAGCGTAATGGACTTAATTAAATTTTAACATTAATTGGTTCTGGAGTTATAAAATATAAAAATCTTATAAAATCTTTATAAAATTATATAATTTTATAAAATCTTAAAGTAATCAGTAAGAAAAACAGCTCCAAAAAGACACCGAAACGTCAGAGCAAAGAAAGTAACAACTTTGAAGAGATGGATACAGATTCAATGGATCGACACAAAATTGATGCCACTGGTGCACACGCCCAAAAACAGCAACAATTGCAAAGATCCATTGAAGGCAAGCAATATTTGATATTCTAATTGTAATACGGCTTTACATCGCGTAAATTTATGACAAAGACTAACATATCTTATTCATACAATGGGTTCTTTTATCTTTGGCTGCAATACTAATTTCCCCAGAATTCCATCAAACATTTATGCTCATTTTTTTTTAAATCTTGGAAAAGGTATAAGTTAAGAAGAAAAAATAAATTCACTACGGTTTACCAAATGCTTCAATTTTTGTACAATCTCCAGCAATGCAATCAGCTACATGGAAAGCAGAACCAATATGACCTTGTTATCCTTGAATGTAAATAATCCGATGTAGAAGTAAGCACAAAGAACAGACTGCTAAACAATAAACTGGGACACATAATACTCCCCCCCCCCCCATTTTTCGGTTAAAATATTTATTTTACTATTTTCGAGGATAGTGCAATATTTTATAAAATTTTCGGTCTGCCTTAAGTAACCTTTCCAACCTTTCTATTACTATATCAATGTTATAAGTTTGTTAAAATTTTAATATTTTTATGTATTAATGATATTTAAAAATCTATTGATATTTGAAACGACAAAAGAAATCCCACGTAAATCAAATATCAGCGATCCAGGTAGTAACATGGGCGAATATACATGTTCCTACCGTATTTGTCAGTTAACAATAATTACACTGTTTTTATTTGTTTATTATTACCCAGCAAGTAAACAAATGCTGTATGGAGTTTTTGGCAATGTTATAACAATGCTTGAGGAGTATGAACAAAGGGAGCTTGCACAGTTTCAAATGCAGCATAATATGCCCAAGTCTGAAATCTTCATTCCTGATCAGAGACATAAAACATTTGATGACGTAGGTATAGAAATATACGACTCGTACTACATAACATTTGTTATAATTGTATATAATACTGTCAAAAATTCAAGGAACCTTAAGAAATTTATTTAAATATATTAACACTAACATCATTACTCTTCATGCAAAAGAAATAAAGTAAGATTTTCTTTTGTACAAAGGACACACTTTTGTAAATTTTGTATTCTGGGTTAAGAATGTGTGGCATGAAGTAAACAGTTTGAGTATGACACAATTTGTTCCATTTGTTGTTAAGGTAGAAAAATGTAATCGAAGATATATTTTGACTTCCATATTAAAATGCTGATTTACTTGAAGAGTACTCACCATCAAAATGCAAAAGAATCAAAAGAAGATATATAGCCAATGGGTAACTTTAGTATTATGTTGGCTTCCATACACAAACACTGAATTACGTCAAGTGTGCTTCTTGCCAAAACGCCAAAGATAGCTATGATATATGTCGATTTAGTCACTTTTTTTAAATTTTGACAGAGAATCAAAATTATTAAAGGTTTGAACAATAAAAATGATAATTTTTAAAGAAATTATTTTACATTATTATTAGATAAAAAGCAATGTAGAATGCCAGCTTCTTCTCTTTGAGACTCAAACAAAAGCTTGTCCACCCGAAGCATTTGCAGAGATTCACGAAGAGCTAAAACGCCGGACATTTGCTTGGTCTGCTGTTAGAGAAGAAATGGGTATAAGAGACATTCACCAAACGGACTATTACCTAGCCAAGCTTTATGAAATCCTAGCTAAAGGAGAGACATTTCATCAACCGATTAATAGGTTAATATTCAACTATTTTTCTGATGTAGCTAATCTATGAAAACAAAGATACTAATTGATCATTTGTTTCAGTTTCTTTTCCATTCAATTGTTCACTTCTCTACAAATCCATGCATATGCATGATGATACTCAATGATGGTTTTGAGAATTAGTTTTTAACGATACCAAATGTTAAAAGGGGTTTTATCGGTAATTTTCTAATGAATGCATTCAAATTCAAAATATCATTTTTACCAACAGTGAAGGGGTGACTGAAGAAGTAATGAAAGAGGGGTTTCAAGCAATGATTAATGGTGAACACGATCGTGCGGTACTGGATAGAGAGTTTAAAACCAACCCTGATAAAGAGGCAGTTGGTCCTGTGACTAGAAGTAGTGAAATGATACGTGAAGGTACCTAAAGTGATCTTATTTACATGAACAACTTTGAATTGTGGTTTCTAAACATGCTCTAGCAACATTTTCAATTACGTTGTTTTGGGGTGTTCTTTAGTGGGTCCATTTTTCTCTGTTCTGTTGGAATAATAATTCTGTTGAAAGAACCAATAGTAATATAAAAGATATAAGTTTTCATTTTGAGATGACATCTGTGATACCGTTATACACCGTTAAATGTTGATACACTGCTGTTAAAATGTCGGGACCGTAACAAAATGTTAAAGTTCTCTACCGTTAAATGTCTCGATTTTTTCTGTGCCGCTAATTGTCTCATTTGCACAATTAAGTCGAATCAGAGTCGAGACACGGATTTACGTTTTGTTTCACCAAAAGAGTATATAGGTTGAATTATTCATTGACCGAAACTAGTTTTACTTCCACTTTAAGTTTGTTTTTACGATAAATTAGACGATTTAAAGCAATAAATTCATAAAAAAATATTCAGCTGTCGCAACCCACATTATAAATGAGAAATATATCGTTCTATCTTTCCGCTTCCCAGTTTTAATTTCAAATAATGAAGATGAAAGTGATTTTTGTGATTTCACATATTTACTCACGGAATATTATTATTTATAATAATAAAACAAATTTGTCAATGACATCGCATAATTAAAAGATAAACTCAAACATTTAGTAAGTTTATAATTTGCTTGAAAATATGATAAACAAGATCAACAAGGAAAGGCCGCGTTCAATGAACGCAAACCCAAGCGACCCAGCAACAAGAACCAGTGGCAAGGAGCCCAGGAGGATCCCAAACAAAACTGGACAGGGCACAAGTCAGAGCACGACAGATTAATCACTAAAATGATACATAAAAAGAAGGAATAGTGTATCCCTGGTTCTCGTAAAGATATACTGATAAAACTATTTTTGAACTGCTTAAAATGAGGTATTAATTACGTTTTAGCATTCATGAGTCTGAATAGCCATATAAGTTTAGGTCTGATACATATTCAATGGTAATCTTTGGTCAACATTGTATTATAGTAAACACCTAAAACGCAGGTTGAGATTGTACATGCAATCTTCAAGTAAGTAAAAAACATTCACGAGGCTCAAAATTTACAATAGACTCTATACTTTACTTTAACTATTAAGAGACGGTGTTTGTCTTCCATACATTAATTTTTTTAAATCATACAAACCTTTTAAATAAAATGTCTTGATCACATTTACAAATCCATCAGATATATTGTGTCTTTCCATATTTATTGTCATCGATTATTCTGTTCTGATTATCATTCCACATTAGCAATTACCTTGAAGAAAATGACACCTGTCTATGTTTTGAAACTTTTCTCTCCGAAATTTGTTCACTAAAGGTAGAAATGAAAAAAAAAAAAACCACAAACCAGCACAGTTTATCAAAACATGTTTCGCATTTATAAGCTTCATCAGTTTCTATGATTCATAACAGGTAGGTAATTCTAAGAAGCACAGATATATTTTATTATGAAATTTATACTGAATTGATGTATACTATCATGAGTGAATGCATAACCTTTTATTGCAATCACAAGAAATGGAAAGATTTAAACACATGTCTCGCATTCAACAAAACTGTCATGTAAACGATGAAATTTGTCGTCACGTGGTATATTTATGATTTTAAATTTATGGTAGTGTTCATTAGTTAGGATTTGTTCAGGTGGCTGATGTCGTGTTTTCGCTTCTTTGCACCCAAATGCAAAAACACAATTGTACGACAAAGTTGACTTTGTCGTCTCTTCGTGTTTTCGCTTTTTCGGATTTTCGAGGTGACAAAGCGAAAATACGACAAAAGAAGGGCGACAATATGACACGTAAAATCTGACGTCTATTTTCATTTCATCTGTCGTATTTTCGCTTTTTCGCATTTTTGCATTTTGTCTTTTTCGAATTGTTGTATTTTCGCTTTTTCGCATTGTTTTTTTTTACTTTTTCGCATTGTTGTATTTTTGCTTTTTCACATTGTTGCTTTTTTTACTTTTACGCATTGTTGTGATTTCGCTTTTTCACATTGTTGTATTTTTACATTTTCGTATTTTCGCGTTTTCGCGAAAATTAAACAATGGGAAAGGAAATTACAACAATGCGGAAATGTAATAATGCGAAGAAGCGAAGAAACGACAAAGTTATACATTGATAATTTCGTCGATTTACCAAAATAAATTTACCACTACAATTCTATTGGACAACAATAATGTCAAAGCAAGCATATCAGCAAAAATACAAAAGCTTACTAATAGTATATACAATTGTAATTTATCTTACTGCTATTACAAAGTTCAAAGGTAAAAAGATATCTACTAATGTCCTTAATCATACTTATACATTTAATGTTCTGCCATAGAAGGAATATTGGTATAATTTTATCTGAATAAGACAACCTATTTAAGATAAATTTAAAAAAATAATATATCTATTCTATAATTTTTAATCATTGATAATGAGGACGATAGATCAGGAAGTTTGCTATTTAAACATTATATGGTAAACACAAAAAGAATCTCTTTTTTTGCAAACAAATGAATCGACATGTGTTTTATGTTACAAATGATAAATGGCTCTGAATAGGGCATAAACAATGAACCCTATGCTTGGAAAATTACTTATAGTATTAATTCAGCGGACTGATAAAAACCTTTCAACCCGAATCTCCCAGATATAGACCCCTGTTGAATTCAACACAAACAAAATAATAATATTTATATATCCTGAACTTAATCTGAAAATAAGACTTACGACTTTGTACGAGGGCTATGCGACGTTTAGCGACAGGTAAAACTAATGCGACATTCAAGATAATCGATATTCAGCGGCTGTAGAAATGCTGCGAAATTCCATGTATGTTTCATAAGTTAGATGCTCAAGAATAATAATAAAGATTAATTTATGACAAACATTAATTATATTTATTTTAAATAGATATTGTAATCGGTTTATTGTTTAATTGTCATTTCAATTAATTTCTATACTACTCCATGTGCGATATCGTAATGAAAAACTTCAAGTTCAAAGTTCAGTTTATTGAGATTCATAGAGTGCGGTGTACAAACATTACATTGAACTGTTAGTGAAAGTGTTTTTATTAACTTTAAAATATATTTGCAGGAGCAAACAGAATATCTCGGGCTCGAGGGGATCAAGATCTTGACAGATTTCTCAAAGAAGATATCCACAGAATTGAACGCAATGGTCCAGAAGACATAAAATAAACGAAAAACAATCATATTTGACGTGAAGTCTGCACACATAATTAAACTGATATAAAAAAAAATGATGAATCACTGTATTTTTATTGAGATGGTTATGTACGCTTTAGCAGTCTAAAATGGTTCTCTCAAAATCCATGTATCACTGTTGCATTACGCTAATTGTTGATGACAAGAACAACTTATTTGTATTGCAAAATGCAATAGTTGCGTACACACTGATATATATTATATTTGTACATGTATATACGTATAATTGTCATTAAAATATTAAGATCACTTATTACAGTTTTCTGTTGAATGTATTTTTTTTATAGAACTCTGAAGGTTATGTAACATGCCCTCTTGTTTTATTTCTTTAAACCAGACACAATTTTCAAGCTTCTTTTACAGTTTCCTTATACATCACTTATTTGTGTTAGGGGCGATGACGGTAGTTTGCATTTCCAAGTACAAGTCATGAACGGGATCAATCAATGCAAACAGACCTTGCAACATTTTCAATTTTTATAATACATAGAATGAAAAAGAAACACAATTTTTATCTACTCAATGTGTTTAACGTTGTCCTAAAATGTATCAATATAAAACTGATTTATTGTATAAATGATTGTGTGAAGGTCATAATATTTATCAATAAAATGGCCATTTCTTTGTAAGGATCATAACTGAGATTTTATTATTTTATTGAATTAAACATTTCACATTATGTTTTAAATTTAATAAAATTAATTCTATATGCGTTTCGAAACTTTATTATTTGAGTCCTAAGTTTATTTTATTGACAATAGTTTAGTACACGACGAATAAGCAGCGAGGAGACAAAAAACCTTATTCGCTGTAATAAGGGAATTATGCTAAGAGCAAGGTGTTAAGAGACAACATTATTGATCAACAATGATATTGATGTAAAGACTAATATGATAGACTTCATATCTTATATTAAGGTAAATTAGTAGAAAAAAGATATCCTGTCACGCCAGTAAAATATTTAGTTACTCACGCATAATAAAATTCATTAGTTGTCATTGTATAAGAAAAAGACAATGAAAGATTTATGACCGCGTTTCTTAGATTTCATATGATAGGAGTAAAAATAATTTAGGTCTAGTATTCTGTGAACATGAACATAAGATAAATAATTGGTTTGTCAGATAGGATAGTGCTGAATTTCATGACATTTCATTTATAGAACGAGGACCTAGAATACGTTCACAAAGAATGTACTTTTCATAGACAGCACGGCCTTTTCATTGAAATGGTTGCAATGATAGTAACAGTTACTTTAATATCAAAGGTTAATAGAACAGTTGTACGAACACATCTGCGAATGTTTCTAAATTTAAAGTATTGCCATTTTATGTTTACATGTTGAATTCTTCTCAAGCCGGTGTCAGGGGGCGTGGACGGTTGTTTGCACTTGATAGTACCGTCCATGACCAGACTCAATCAAACCGAGCCTACAACATTTTCAATTTTACCGTTTTGGACTTTCTTGTGGATTCTTATTTTCTCTTTTTTTTTTAAAAAAGAAAAAAAGCAACTACGAAACTGCATGTATAGTAGTTTATTGTAATGTCAAAGAATATTTACCTGATGAGATTTTAGCGTATACTATGTTATAAAATTGGTTGTTCTGAAATTGTAAGAAAATTCATTCATATATAAGGTTAGATGTTATTGGTCATACGATCTCTCTTTGATGGCGAGGATACCCCCCCCCCAAACACACAGGCATATTGGGTAGGAGCCGCCCGGATAGCTCAATAGGTAGAGCATTAGACTGTGAATCGGGCGACCTGGGTTCGATTCCAGGACGGCGCAATTCACTTTCGTTGTGATTGATCATGAAATCCTTTCTGCGGTCATTCGCACTGTACCTCTGTTCTTGCATGTACAGAAGAAATCAGTTCCTTGCGGAAGTGAATGCAACTAGTAAAATGCTAGACATCCTGCCAAGGAACGATGCGATGGCTGAACAGTGCTCTGATAAATTCAATTAGGCTTACTGCCGTGATCCGGAGTGAAAACTACTAACACCACCACTACAGCATATTTGGAAGCAAAGGTTGCAAAGCCGCCATGCTATAGCCCTATCTCTCATCTTTATTTATTTATTAATATTTTATTAAAGTATATTATTCACTCCTCTTACTATAATTATTACAAATTAAAATGTCTTTGAGACTGCTATTCAAGAAAGTAAGAATTTATTGTCAAATTCTGGTGTTTACATGGTTTATTAACTTAAAACTTGTTTTTATTAAGATATTATTCAAAATTGGTACGATATGGTAGAAAGCCAATATATCTCATACACGAAGAACGAGATTCACATTGCCAATTAAAGAACAAAATGGTTTAGTTTTACCTACTCCTTGAAACAAGATAATATTGACCTTGGTACTGTATATATCGATTGACACAAAAACGTTTCATAACCCGGTCGCGTGATTTTGTTTTCGATGAAAATTGTACATTATAAAGTCTAATACCAGGAATAAAAGAGAAAGTAAATATTTTTCATTGTCCTAATTAACATACCGGAATATCAGAACAAAGGACTTTTGTTTTTAAGGGTCGTAAATCAGACCTGGTTTTTGGATTTATTTGCCAATTCTTTGAAATGTGATAGCCTATATATTTTGCTTACTTATTTCAAATATGAAGATTGGCGACAAAAATACTCTATTTATTGATTCGGCTAGTTTAAATTACATGATAAGTGGTATTTTATCAAATACTTGTCAATGAAAGTTAAGAACAAATGAAATGCTTTTGACAAGTGTGAATGACTTATGAGATTTGTAAAAGATATTTTGAAAAAAATGTCAATGCTGATGATATTAGAACGAACAATCCCAACACTGATAATAATATCATGTTTCGTTTAATGTGGACAACGTGGTTTGGCAAAGCATAACTTATTGAAAATGTTAAGTGATCTATTTGATAAAATGGTAAGTGATCTGTTTTTGTTGTTACAGATTGGTGAATTTACATAACAGAAACCACAAAGGTCAAGGTATTACTTACAAAACAATTTGGTCCATTTAAGAGTTGGACAAGTTGAACTAATGCAAGCTTTTTGATATTTTTATGGAACAAAGACCAGAAGAAGCACCTTTTTGTGATCTATAAATCTCTTGTGTTTTTTTTCCTTTTTAATTTCAATTGGAGGTGACCAGACAGCCGGAGCAGGTGTAATCATCATTGCCTAGCCCGGCCGTTTCATCTCACCAGAATCCCATTTCAGACATGTCGGCTAGCCAGAACCTCATTTCAGACATGTTGGCTAGCTAGAATGACATTTAAGCCATGTCGGGCTCTCGGTCTCCGGCTAGCAAGTAAAAACCGATCAACGGCTTTTAGTGATATAGGAAAATGTTACGACAAATTTTTAAAACTTTTGTGTGATGTTTGGTGTTTCCGTGTGTTCTCTGGTACATTTGTGTCCGTCGGGAATACTCTGGTTGTCTGTGCAACGTCACGAACATCAATCAAAGTGTGTTCTTACAAGTTACGTTATGGTTATAATTAGGCTTCAGGTTGCAAATACTTCTTAATCATAATTCATAGAAATGACACTTATAATCACTTGAAGTCATAGGCATTTGTGTCACTCATTGTAAAGAGTATTAAAATATTTAACATGCAAATCGACTTCGAATTTTAATGCAATATAGACGCAGAGTTATAACACCTTAGCAATGGGCTCAAAAATGTTTTCATAACAGTTCTATCTATCGCACACTGAAGTGAATTAAACTAAAGATAAAAGCACAAATAGTTTTCACATTGCCATAACATGAGATGAAAATAATGAATTTTACTATTATTGTTTGAACTATCTCCATGCATAGTTACGCACAAAATACTTATGTAAACATAATGTAAAATTTACGACTTTGTTTCAACGTAAATTTACAGATTTACTTCTTTCTATTCAAATTTAGTGGATATTAGGAATGCAAACCTTTTCATTTCCAAAATCATAACCGGTGTCAGTGCCGTTTTTGTTAATGCAAGTTAGTATAGAGACAAATGGAACGCAAGCCGATTAACCAGAGATTGGGTTTGATGATGTAAAATGTAACGCCATCTGTGTACATATTTTGCACATGACCGTGTTCAGCAGGCCGATTATGTTATGGGGTTTCTATATATTATATCAGTCCCGCACCAAAAATCCATTAACAGGTCACATGACACTCATGATCAGTTAAAATCATGGACACTAAAAAAATTGATATTTTATGATAGTAAATGTGAAATAAAGATACATTCATGGCCTAATCCATGCATATAGATTGATTGTCAAAATAACACCTTATTATTATCAAATGCATAATTCTACTAGTATTAACAAAGCTTTTTTTTACTTAAAAATGATCTCCTTAACATTTCTGACTGTCCGAAAAAAAAAACATTTCCTGATTTGACTTTGTTAAGTAAGCTAAGATATTATTTGCGTTTTAAGAAATAATTAAAAGTAGATCTAGATCGTAATTAAGATTCAGCGATGTTAGGACACAGACGATTAGCTTATTTATTTGTTCTTTAATTTGTTCTTCTAAAAGACAACAAGACTGGCCTAACTAATTATCCTAAATTAAGATAGAACTCTAAACAAATATTACGGACAAATTAATAACCTAAGACAAAAATTAGGGCGTTAAATAGATACGGTAAATTTGCTTGTACATTTGTATTTGATTACATGTAAAAACAGCTTACAGATCGTGTAACATATTGAAAATCGAGACATTTATTAGCCTACACTTTATAATAAAATAATGAAGTTTCGAGATGCGCACAGGCCTTTATTAAAAATGACAAATGTAAGAAGACCATGTTGAAAGATGAATTATAATGACAAACCAGGCATCATTTTAATAAAATACAAGGAAATGAAAGATATTCATGTCCATCCTATTATGATATTGAGATAATAAAATATTAAATATTATATTAAATATAATAAAATTTTGGAAAAGTAATTATCATGACGTCATTGTATTTATTAACGTCACATCTAATGTAACAGGCTAACATAAAAATTCCATTTTCTATCACTATAGAGCATTATCCCGCATTATTATATGTCAATCAAATTGTTCTTGTGATTGGGGGTATTAACCTTGTTGCATTGTTCAAACAAACTACGTCTTACGTCATAAAGTGTGGTGCGGAAAGGGACATTGGACAATTTTGAAAATCTATGATCTGAAGCTGATGTCGCTCGTTTATGTCATCTAAATCTAAAATTTTGTTTGCAAGTGACTAGCTACAGTTCATCCATCTTGAAAATCACCGAGAGTTTGATTAGGGTACGTGAATTTTCACATTTGCTCTGAATCGCTTGCCAAATTATTGTGGAAAATAATTCCGTGTAGCAAGACTGTTGAAAGTCTATAATGGCCTAGAGCTTGCCATATAGATTTGAAATACCTTTAGGTTTGTTACTACATATAGTAACATGTGTATTAACTACTACTTCTTGTGTTCAGTTCTATTCTTTTGGCTCTTACTAATGGAGTTTTAACTTCCCAGATCTTTAATGATTGCAATTCTCCAGAGACGTTTTATCAACACACTTATAAATAAGCAAATGATATGTAGCTTCATTGTAGTCTTTATTGCCTTTTCTGGTTAAAAAAGTAAATAAATAAATTTTCGTGAAAATAGTTTAATAATTTACATATAAATACACATTTTAAATGTAAAGTGTTAATCTATAGCTGCATATTTCAGAATTTTAAAACTGACTACGTCCTGCTTTTTGTGGAATTCATTATAACTCTTCTGGAAGCTTTTTATATATATATATATATATTTCATCATTTTATTGGTCAGTTTACATTTAATTAACTTTACACCCTTCTTCTAACCCTCAATCTGTAAAAACAAAAAGTAAAAATATGGCAAACAAAATATTGTGCGAAATATTTACTATCGTGCTTATCGACATTGCAAATAAATGTGTTAAACGTTTTATAATATTATGATTGACCATACAGTATGTCTCATCTAAACCATCAAATTGTGGCTTTGGCATCCTTTGAATGATACTCTTTTTTCATCTTAATATCTCAAATTCGAACATGAACAAATGGACAAGTACATTAAAGACATTTAACATATTAAACGTTATGGCAGTCATAAACTTACATCAGTAGATAATTATATATTTTTATGTATCTCAAATTCGAACATGAACAGATGGACAAGTGCATTAAAGACATTTAACGTATTAAACGTTATAGCAGTCATGAACTTACATCAGTAGATAATTATATATTTTTATTGTTGAAAAAGGGAGTTGTAAAATGTTTAGTAATACCATTTTCCATACTGTTTGCCGATGTTGTGTAGCAGAGCTGCCACCCACTCAGCGCCTGCCCTACTAGTGAGCTGTACTGCTTGTGACATTGCAAATGTAAACCCTTCGAAGTCTGCCGTTAAAAACTCGCCTTTATGGTAATCGCTTCCGCAATTCCATGTCCAGTTTATGAGTGGCCCTGATATACAAATGTGTTATCTTTAAGATAGATAATCTACAACGATTTAAAAGTAATTTCGTATTTCTGTATTTATGATATTGATACAAATTTATTATATACTTATAAATGAAATATTGAGAAATATTAATTAAATAAAATGCGTATTTTCATTTTCCGTATTTTCACTGCAAAAATTGTGGCATGAAAATTATTATATTTCACTCGTGGTTATCGCCACTCATGAAATATTTATTTTCATACCACTCGATGAAAATAAATCATGTATTTATAGGAAAAACTTGAATATCCTCTTTGTATTTATGTAGCAAACATCATCTTATTGACAAGTTCATGTTTATTTGAAGATTAAACGATATTTATATAGCAAACTATTTTCTTATTGACAATTTCATGGATGAAATAATCATCAAAATATTTCAATATTGCCAAACCTGTATGAGATCCAAACTGACATTTCATACTTCCTTCTTCATTTAGATACACTGGAAGTCTGTCCATATTGCATATCCAGTCCGAGCCCCTGGGAAATAAAGGGTCTAAAGCGATAGTATTTCATTTTTTGTTTATGTTTTCATATTTGACAAACTTTGTATTTGCTTGGTTAATTTACTGTCGTATTTCAGTTGCCTATTTTCCTGGAACTTGCGTGTTATTTCATTTTTTTTAAGAGTGTACATAGATATCACAGTAGCATTGTCCACAAGGTGGCTGTGGTTCTATAAAATGTCTGGTGTAACTCATTGATGCATTCGGGTTTTAACAGTATCCTCAAATAAATACCAATAATGATTCAGTAAATAACATGATCCCTTCAGGAAGAATTAAAAACTAATTCAAACGCTTTTTTTTAAGTTTAAACAATAAAAATGTAATGTCATCATTTATATGCTTTCATGCTTTTGACAACCATGGTCATTGTATCAGGTCGTTTAATTTACATATTTTATATATATGAGTAGTGGAGGACCCCTGGGGTCCTCCACTACTTATGTGTGTGGAGACGTAATATTGATAAGTCTCATAAAACATGAACTTGTGAATTACTCGGACCGGATTCTTGAAGCGGACTGACTATACTGTCTGAAATGAAAATAGATCCCGTGAACTCCACTTTTCGATTTTTTCTATAACAACAAGTTTGATAAATTATCTATCTAAAAAATAGAAAATAATATATTACTTTTTGAACAGTAAATTGTTACTTACCCACCAAATGGGCATGCTGGACACATGAAATTTGTTAGCTCTATCCACTTCACCATTTTTATTCACCAGTAGTACAATATAACTTATTTACCATTTATCAGACAGGCGGAGATTCATAAAATTAAATATGAAATCACGCTGGACAACCGTTCTTATTGTAACAGTCTTACGGCCGCTGAAATTAAAACGCTATACCTTACATTACCTTACTTTCCAAAAAAAACAGTTAAAATGAATTCTTATATAAATACTCCTAGCACTATTGGTCAGTCAATTTCTTTATTTATTTATTTTTTTCTTTGCTTACTTTTTATTTATGTTTGTCTTTATTATTTTTGTCACAATAACAGAAGGCAGACTGGGAACTTAAATATAAAAGGTCCATTTTTTTCAAGAAGATAAACAAAGGTTAAGAGAACAAAATATTCTTCTCTATACATACATTCAAATTTTCCAACTATGATTTAAAAGAGAATAATATTAGCCCTTGAATGTTTGGTTTAAATATAATAGAGATAATTGAGTGGAGCATTACATGATGTAAAAAAAAATATTCAAGTTTTAGACAGAGAGAGTTAAACTTCAATGACCCAAACACCATCAAAGGTTTCATTTGTTCTTAAATAACACTTACCTAAGATTCTGGTAGGTCAAAGTTACTTCATGTTCAAGGTCATATTTAAATGTAAAAACTCCACTTAGTGTATTTTTGTACTAAATTTTGTTTTGCCCAGTTATGAACTGAAGCATTATATGAGCAAATCCGATGAATTTTGAAATATGACAGTAAATAGATATTTGTATTCAAGAGTAAAACTCATATAACGCCGTGAGATGAATCATGCAAATGTCGTGGAACAAAATGCTGCAATAAGTATAGTGTTCTAAAGACTTAAACACGTTTAGTAATTGACCTTGTCAGCCGCCTATGTCTTACACTACATAACTGTTATGTCTTATTGTTATTTTTTCTTGTCTACGTAGGAATGAAATTTATGCATTTATAACGAATTCATGGTCAGTATTATCAACATTCAATAATTCAAGGTCAATGTCATTTTAGAGTCATTGTCATTTTAGAATTTCTCCACCCTTTGTGTTGTTTTGTCCAAGCATGTGTGAGCAATACAATGAGGGGCAATATCAGCCGCATAAAGAAGTCGCAAAAAGAGGGAACCAAGATTTATTGCTTATCAATGTTTTATGTTAATTTGTTTTGAAAAAATATAGCCATTTTGATGGGAAAATATTCATTTTTTTGACAAATAAGTTACCATAACTCTTCAAATAATGATAAGTATAGACCAATTTACATGTAATAGAAAAACCGTGATATACTAGTAATACATGTATTTTTGTGGGATCTGGCTGTCATAAAGAAAATGTCTATCTAAATATGTTTGCCCGTTCAGGGGCCATACCTCTACAAACCATAATGAGATCATTCAGTAAAAGAAAAACTGTTAAAAACTGAAACACAAAGTTGTGTTCACGGATGGGCGGACAGCCAATAAGTCATCAAATAATCTTTCGCTGACAACTTGCAAAGGAAACATCGACCCAAAAACCGATTGCTTTATTTGTTCTATTTTCAATTCTAAAACCATGTTCTACATGTAAAGTAAGTTTCTTTGTTCCCTTACTGTTAATTTCATACATAATATTTTGTTTTTAAAGAAGGAAACTGAAATCAATTATTTATTTAACTTCAATTTAAGTCGAAGTTAGCCGTCAAAAATCAAATGCATAACACGCAACCAGTATTTCGATAAGCGACTTGTGATACGCTATCTTCTAAATTTGGTAAAAATCTGTCGTCTGTCGTATGCTGAATTTGTAACTTGTGTCTACGCCGTGTCAATGTATAAAAAGTAGTTCCATTCAAGGCATGGATATACATACATTGGTATGATGGGCGGTTTTATACAGCCCTCTGAGCAGAAAGAAATGTTAAGTTGTTGGTTAGTTAAGACATTGTGATCCTATTTTTTCTGAATTTCAAAGGCTTAACGGTAAGACATTTTCAATTTTTATTAATCTGAACCAAGATTAAGATTTTTGAATAATAACACCCTAAGCATATCATTTTAATATGTAAAAATGTGTGCATTTTCAACATACATGTGTATTTACACAACATTTATGTTTGTCTAAATTAGTTTTCAATGATCGGTCGTAAAAGGACACAACCTATTGTAGTTTTGCCATAGCGTGCCGCCGAAATAAACACATAACACCGTGTTGTATACCTGTCATTTAAGTGTTGAGGATTATCCCATTTCTAAATTTTAAGAACTCTTGAAAGTGCAGGCCTATTTTTTTTTGCGTGTGGCGTCATTTAAAGAACAAAAGTTGTTCATACTATAGCACTGGGGATCAAAATTGACCCGGCCCCAGGGGCGCATGTCTTTTCAATATAAAGTAAAACTTAGAAAAATCTTGAAAATTACATTTAGCATGAAATCAAATGTACATCTACAAAAATTGTTCAAATATGAGCCCTTGTTTCAAATTTGGCCGCACCAAGGGTCATACGTTCTACTTTTATGTTTATAGCAAAAACTTAAAAATTCTTCTTCTCTAAAACTAGTAAGGCTAAAGTTAATATATTTCTTATATATTTGGCATGAAAACATTTTCCCTTGGTCTTTTACCAAATTTGTTTAAATTATAGCCCTAAGGTGTAAATAAGTCCCACCCGGGCGGTCACAAATTTTCCAAATGTGTAAAATAATTGTAAAAACTGGAAATTCTTATGTTTCATAACCATGAAGGCTTAACCATATGTAGCTTTGATATTTAGAATATTGTTAAGTATACCCCTTGCAAACTTGGTCAAATTAAAGCCCTTTGATCAAAATTGGTTTCATCCTTGGGTAAGGTCATTTATTTTTCTTGTAGGTGTATACAGTAACAAGTTTCTACTTTATACATATGCGGACAATTTATGGCTCCTGAAGCAGGACCAATTTAGACCCCAGGAGTATAATTTTAGCAAAGTAAAAGTATGAAGTAAAAACTTGTAACTATGTACACCTACAAGTAAAAAGCATGCAGACTCAAGCAAAGATATTTAGCAGGAAGCATTGTCTAGTGGACCTCTTCCAAGTTTGTTCACAATATAGCCATGGACTTTAACTTGGTCCCACATAAGAGTACTCCATTCTTCAAGAATAATTATTCTAATTGTGAAATATGACCTAAAATTAGAAGAGCATTGCAAAGGCTAAATTTATATACGGTTTTCAATTTATTTCTGAGAATATTCTTAATTATCCTTTGCAATTCTTTCTGTTCCCTAGCTGATCAATGTACGAAATTCAAATTTTATGTTTTAAAACTTATAGACCTCAGTGGAATTTTTTTTGTATTAAACGTAAATTTGATTTACTTTGTACAAACAAAAAAAACAACTATTAATACGCAGTGAATTTTAAATCTGAAAACAGGATTTTTGACTATTTTTTTTCTCGATTTATAATATATGTATTTGACTGATATAGATATGTATTTATAATAAGTCAATTCATTTTTTTCTCCCAAAGGATGACATTTGCACGAGAAAATACAGGTTTTGTTTCCTTGAAATACCGATTTTACGAAGATAAATAAATCATCTTTTTATCTATAAAAAATATCAGGTAATCAGATTTGCCTTTGGAAAATTCTGGGAAAAATCTTGTTTTCCAATAAAAGCGATCTTTTTAACATTAAGTATTTCCTTATGTTCGTATTCCATATTTAAGAAATAGTTTTCAATATGCCGCTATGCCAACATATATTATCGTTCATCGCATCGAGATTTTAAGAAATGCATGCTTCTGTTTTCAAATAAAACGTGTATACGATATAGTTACAAAATTTATAATACTTGCTTCTTTGCATCAAAAGGGCGTAAATAAAATATAAACAATCAAATATGAGTTGGCGTAAAGATGAAGATCTTGCTTGTAAACCATACAGTAGACATAGTCAAAGACATCCTTCGCCCTACTACGAAAATGATTCACCTGGTTACTATGAATCACACATGGCGGGTGCTAGCAGAAGCTTCCGAGGTGCAAGCTTATCGCAATCTCAAATGCAAGGTCAACTTCAACGGTCTACTGAAGGTAAGATGGTTTTAAAAACCAATAAAGCATATAGCTGAATATGTATTAATTTAAAAAAACAACACTTGTTTGGAAAGAATTGCTTTCAAAAGTATATTCTTACAACGAAGTGTATATGCTATTGCGTACTGCTGTTATAAATTTCCCAAAACTTCGATCTTTTGTAGTTGCGTGAGAATATCTGTATCTGTAAAATAAATGCGAATATACATTGAGTGATGCAGTAGTATATAATTGATAGTATTCCAGGTGAGTTTTGTTTTCAGCAGTCTGATTAAATTTAATTTACCCTTTCTTCAGCAAGCAAACAAATGTTGTACGGCACATTCGGAAACTTGATTGCGAGCTTAGAAGAATTTGAGCAAAGAGAGCTGAAAGAACAAAGAACTTCAAAAAGTCTTAGTAGGTCAAATATTGCAATACCCGATCAAAGACATAAAAATTTTGAAGATGTAAGTTTGAACAAACTTCAGGTACCATATTCCTTCTGAGAAGTTTCATAAAACATGATATTTGTTTAACATACAATCAATTTTTCTTTTATTTTCCCATTTAAGGAAAAAGAAAAGGGTAGAACAATTTTATGAAGTTACATGTTTATGAAATTTTGTAAAAATACGTATATATTTTTTTCCGACTTGTTTCCATAAATTAACGTTTAAGGAAAATATTTTAAAAA